TACAGCAACCAAGGGAAAACCTTACAGCACGGGACAGACTTGTAGCAGTTCCATTTGTTTTGTTCTCAAGCTCCTGTACAAGGTAAAGTGGGCTGGAAACATTTTCTGAGGAGAAAGCTACAGTTCACTCTTCCATTAATTCTCCCACGCCAAGCTTGCTTTAACCAAAGGTTTTGTTTCAAAGGATGGCTCTGCAGTCTCAAAAACCAGCACCCAACCACCATTCCCTTTTGACATAACCTGTATTCTGCACAAAATGTCAGGAACTACACTGGTTTCAAGGAATTACTTTGGAGCATTTTCCACCATTTTTTATTTATTTATACCACCATTCAGGTGAAGGTTAGCCATCACCTACCAACTTAAATAGCACCTTAGTGCTGAAATAGTTCTCAATCCAAAACCTTCTTCACATGCAGATTGGAGGCAAAGCCTACAATGTAACTTTTCCTCAACATGAGCAGGTGATTTTTGTAGTTACAAGCTGGTAAAATAAGTAGCACAAAATAAGAGTTACACTCAGAGTTTATGGGGGGGTTAAACAAATGAAGGGTTTCTGTCAATGCAAACAAATGACCAACACATTAAAAACAGCCTTGTTGAACAGAGTCTGACTGAATGTCATTAAAACTAGATATTGGGGGGAAAACTAAAAGCACTGGCTGATGTAATGGGAACGACAATTTTCATGACAATTCCAAAAACCATATCTTACCAAGACAGTAATGAATTTAAATTAATAAGAGAGACAGGCATGGGAAGCTCAGAACAAAGACCCTGCAAACCACATCACATTAACAGTTGTCTGAGATCAACCAAGGTGCACTATTTTTCACTGAACAGTTCAAAGGTTAAAAACTGGATAGCAAGATTTTGTTTGCCAAGACAAATCTAAAGCCCATCCCCTTTTCTGTATGGCCCACAGGAGATCACAGCAATATTTGACCATATGGGACTTTTCAAAGAAAATCTCCAAACAAAATTTCTGTTTCCCTAGTTAATCCAAACCAGTGTGGTTGTAAGAGTTGAAGAAAACTACCATTAAAAAAAAGTTATGTACTTAACCCTGTTTTGATACCGAACAGTGAGGATCTTCTTTAACTGCACAGCAGAATAAATCCACCAAATCTGCAGTGGGACACAAAGGATGATCCCCTCGACAGCACGAGCTGTGCAACCCCTGAGACCCTCCAGCTCCACGCTGAGCTAAAGCCAGTGCTCTGTTTGGAAGCAAAGCTGATGTTGTGTCAGACACACTGGTGTTCCTCTGAGCTGACAAATGCACTGGAACTTGGGAATGGTTGTTCCACTGCTCTCATCAGGGAGAAAACTCTTAAAATCTGGCCACTGGTCACTGCTTTTTTTGTTGACAGTTTACCAACACACAGCCTCACATTCTCTGCCAAACTAATTCCAGGATTTTGGAAAACCTACTCATTTAAATCATCAATTCAATGTTGCTCCTCTACACATTAAGATCCCACTAGAGATGTTTCTTTCTCAGTCTCTTTTCTAAAGACTTTGTGAAGAATCAAATTCCAGCAGTGATCTTTTGCCATCTATTGCAAATTCCAATGGAAATAATACTCACCAACTCTTTTTATACATTAGCTATTTGCAATTGCAGCATTCAGCCCACAGGTTTCAGCCCCTCAACAGCTGAAACAAACCCACTCTACAAAGCCTGAGCTCCTGCACCTTTATCCTGCAGCTCAGCACTTGCAGCTGTTTCCAGAGGTGTCCATCCCTTTTCCCTGGATGAAGATCCCCCTGTTCACTCTGGACATGCACAAATCTACCACTGCTTTGCACTCAGGTACATGAGGCATCTAACAGAGACATTTTTTGTGTGTCCTTAAGGGCAGGGGGAATATTAGAGAACAGGAAAAGTTTATTTGTTTTTTTGTTCACTGTAGAACTGAGTCTCAAAATCTTATCATTTCAGGAGAATTCTCAAGGAGCAGAAGACAGCACAGGCAAGACAGAAGGACATTACTGAGCTAGACAGGCAGAATCAAATAAAGGTCAAGAATGAGCTCTTTCTCTGAGCTGGAATATATCAGTATGGTCACTCAGCAAGGTATTACAGCTACATGACAGTACCCTACAAAAGCTTTGAATTGAAACTTTTAAATTACATTAAAACATATCAAAATGAGATTTCTTTTTTTCCCCCCTCTCAAATATTTCTACTAGTTAAAAAAAGCTGCTAGAAAAACAAAGAGGGCATTGTGCCTGCTTTTACTGGCTTATCCACACAAGCAGAAAATCACACATTCCAAAAGCAAAACAAAATTCTTCACAGAAAAAAATGTAATTTTTTAAAAGGCTTACATTAAGAGATAGCACTGTAGCTTATCAAACTCAAACTATGTCCCACTGCCAGTAAATATTTTTAACATTATTCATAAAATCCTACTAAAATTCCACAATGCACTTACGAAAATCAAGGAAATCTGTGGTATGATTCAGGCTACAATTAGTTAACAATAGCGGCTGCTTTTTAACTAACTCTCCAAGCTGATCTGCCTCAATCAGTATTGTAACTGGCACATCTGCAGACAGGAAATCCTCAACACCACCGAGTTTCCCAGCCTATTATCTGAGACACCTGGTGTGGGTGTGTTGATACAGAGCAAAACAATGAATCATATGGACTGCACATCAATTAACCAGCTTTAACTGTTAATGTGTGTAATCCTAAAGGGTGGAGTGGCAATGTGAACACTAAAAGAAAAGGCAACACAAACCCCCCAAACTATTAATTTTGCAGTTTCTAAATATGGATTGTAACTCAAATCTATGACAAAAATTATAATACAGGTAGTCCCTCTATCAAATTAGTGAGTGGACTCACACTGCAACAGTCTATCATGCAACCTTATTCCATTATAATTAACACCAAACAGAGATTTTTTTCTTATTATTTCAATCTGATAGCTCTTCTTTTCATCAAAACAAAAAAGACAAAAGTAAACAAATTGGCTTGACATTGCACACGTGTGACTCCAACTCAGTGTCCTTTTCACAGGACCATAGAATGGTCTGGTTTTTTTACCAGAAAGCTTGAGAAAATCAAATACAGCATTTAGAAACCCTCTTTTTGGAAACATATTCATCTCACCTCATGAATATTATTCTACAATTTTCAGGACTGTCACATCTCCAGATAGCATAACCTTGTTTTTTGCTCTTGGCAAGCACTAGTCTCTTTGATTGGTTCTGGTGAGAATAATCCATTATTATAGGCTGTTTCCACAGTTTATAGAAGCCCATTGCACTTCTAAGAGAACAGTAGTCACAGTAAGGAAAAGAAAACATTTGTCAAAACAACCAACCTGCTCTCTTTTGGGGTATTAGGAAGATATAAAGCTGAATTAACCAGGGAACCCTTAAAGGTTCCCTGCAGGGAGCTTGGATTTTTAGACACTTCTCTTTCTCTGAATTGGATGATGGCTGCAGCAACAAACTTAAGCACCACAGTTTAGAAAAAGAAGAAATGGTAGGCTCTTAAACAGGATAAATATGCACTTGTAGTGAATAGCTTCATGAACAAAAGCATGGACTCAGAGCACATGACCTGCACCCCAGAGCTGCTGGAACTCAGTTCTCACTCTCCAGTAAAGGTGAGAAGACCACATGGTCCCCATTTATTGCAGCTCATGCAAAAGTAGTTACCACTGACTTCTTTCATTCACTGTAACTTAATGTGCTTTTACTCTGTAAATGAACAAGTCAGGCAAGCCAGAAAAGAATTAAACCACTCTCAATGTTTGGGTCACTAAGTATTTAATACACAGAAAAGTGGGGGCCTGTTTGGCCCCAGACAACATGAAGTGTCTTCATGTTCAGAATGGAAAGCATTGCAAATAAATGTTAAGGTAATCATGTTTACCTACTGCCCACATCACAGTGTCAAAGGAATCCGTTTCTTCTGTGCCCAGGTCAGTATTTTTCCAGGTGACTTGCAATCTGTTGCTCTCCAGTTTTTCAACTTTGGTTGGGAAACATCTCTTTAAAAATTTTGTGCCGTAAGATTCCATGTGCTCAGTTACTAAAGATGCCATTTGCTGTTAAGTAGGAAAAACAAATTGTTTATCCTTAGATATATGACCTTTTTAATGTAAACCCCTCCTTCAGCTGTGTTCAGGAAAATCCAGTAAGTACAGTGTGCATTTCAAACATTCCTTGTCAATCAGTTACTATGCACTGCCAGCATATGATAATTTATGGAGCCACTACGACCTGCAACTCCATTCCAAGAGGCATTTATATCTGAATACTCCAATTATTTTCAAAAAGGTAAAATAGTATATGAATAGAACAGTTGCTTTTAAATCATTTGGTTTTTATACAAAAACAGCACCTAGAGCATTTTCTGGCAGTTTGATGAAAATTAAATACTTTCAGAAAACAATGGAAGAAAAATATTTCCCTTTGCCACGACACCTGACATTTCCCTGCAATGACTATGAATCACTAAGACTTCACGGAAAGTTCTCCTACAAAAAGGAAATAATGCTTTTGTCCTAAGAGCCTGTTTGAAATAATGCCACCCCACACTCAAGCAGTGAAGTGTCACATTGACAGGTTTATCCAAAGATGGCAGTGCTCCTGACTGCAGTAATTCAGGCTGCACTTTTTGTTAAAGAATATGTTTATTACTTGAAGCATATTATCACAAAACCACTCACAGAGAACAACTAGGTGCAAGCTCCCAGAATTTTGACATTAACTAATATGAAGGCAACAGCAGGGCTGTGTCTCTTCAGAAACATGAGCTCAGGTGCCATCAGACCCAACGCGGTTGCAGAGTGAACATAATGACTTTCTCTCTATTAATATTTTATTACCTTTGGTTGGTCTGCTGTGCTCTTCCTGCCCACAGAGGATCAGGTTGTCAGAGACAGCCCTGCTCTGAGTGTTCCCCAGTGGCACACACACTGTTCCCTGGGCTGGGACAGGGCTCATTTCTGCACTGATGGGTGCAAATCCCAAGAACTGTTCCTATCCAATGTTCTGCACACTCATGCCCCCAGTTTTAGAGGTACAAGCTGCTGGTTTCAAGGAAGATACTTCCACGTGGAAGGGGCTGGCACACAACCAGGAGCTGTCACTGCCTGCTGTGGTGCTTGTCACTGCTGCTTCTAACAGCAACACTCCTCCCTCAGAAACTGTGCTCTCACACATGGAAATGACTTTCCTACACTGTAAGATATTCCATACTTGCCTGATCAAACCCACGAAGGGGAATACTTCTCATCATGACTGCAGTGTCCAGTCCAATGCCCGTCAGAAAACCAGCACACTCAAGGGAAACATCTGGTGAATCACCAGTTAGGGAAATACAAACAATAATGTCATGTAAACACAATATAAAAGGGTAGTATGCAAGTGGGATTTTTACCTAAAGATACCAAATTCTCCTCACACAGACATCTTTAGCTTGCTTTTGTACTCAGAATAAAACTTGGAAGTCTTAGAATATTTTCCTCATAGTTAACATTGGTTTTAAGATCCTCAGAATTTATCCTCAGCTGACCTTAATTTCCATGATGCTACTTCATAGAAAACTATTACTATTCTCTCACCAACTCAACCCTATGACATGACCAAAGGAATTCCCTAAACTGAGCTTTCATAGGAAAGACAGTGATGCTGCCTATAATCATAGATCATCACAGGTTTTCCAAAGGATACAGCTGGCTCCAACAATCAACCTGTTACATAAAAAGAAAAAAGGAATAAAGCAGTGGAATGAGCTTGTGCATATTTCTGCACAACCAAAAGATTATTTTCTGAAGCACATATTTATAGAAACATTTTTACTGTTTTTTACAGCAGTAGCCAGATTAAGTCCTAACTCTAATTTTCTCCCTTCATAACCTCACGACATCCTTATAGCCCTCCTGAGATCCCTGCCCCTTCTCCCAAGGGCATAAACACTCCTTTTTTTCCTGAGTCCCAGCCAAAGTTCTCTATTCAGCCAGGCCAATCTTCTTCTCTGACAGCTCATCTTTCAGCACATGGGGACAGTCTATCAAGTAGATTATGTCTTCCCATCAAGTAGATTACAGTTCTTATTACAGATTTTATTCATTGCTAAATTTCATTTTGATTTATAACCATCTGCTTTTTAATAATCTTATTTTTCCAAATGCCAAATATTTGCCTTTCCTGTCTCCAAACATTTGTGTACACAACTATAGAAAATGGGTTTAATAGATTTACCTAGACTGCTATTTACCAAATACATCCACTTCAGTTCTTAAATAAAACTCCAGCTCCCTTCTCTCCCCATATTTCACACCCTTTCAACCAGGAATATCACTGAACTTGTCCATCAACACTTTCAGTTTACGAGGTGGATCAGCTCTCCAGCACAGCAGTTTCTGTGCCTGTCCCCAGATGCCCTCTATGCTGCACATCCCTCTCTCTCCTGACCCATCCTCAGTTCCCAGCTCTGCTGGGGATGAAAGGCAGGATCTCAGTCCCTGTTCTGGAAGCCAAGCTGCTGCACAGGCTGCCCGGGCTCTGCTCTGTTGTCCTTGTGTTCTGCAGACACAACACACTTGGGGGGGGAATCCCACAAAGGATTTCCACTGACAGCAAAGCATTTTGTTGAGTTTTTGAATGGGTTTTTGCCCTGTGCCTTACCCTAAAGCAGTGTGCACCATGTCCCAGGGTAAGAGCAGTGCTGTTGTTACACCTCTGAGCAGGGCAGACAGGGAGGCTGCTGCTCTGGGAGCCCCAGGGACTGCACAGTCACTGCAACACATGTTTTCTCACAAAAGACCCCAGATAACATCTCTCTATCCTACAATAAAAACACACAGCTCTGAAGGTGTACAAAGAACAGGTTGAGCTAAAGCGATTAAAATCTGCTAGTCTGGGGTTTGTGTTTGGCAAACAATTTAACAGAGTGGGAGCTCATTTTTCCAGCATTAGGGCATCTGATTCATGTGTGAATGGATGATCACCCCCTCCTTTGGCATGGAGCTCCTGGGCAGGGCTGCAAAGTGCCACGTGCTGCCCATAAAGAAAATATGTGCTGGAGATTCACAGGGAACAGAATGAGAGTATCTGTAATTTGGGCATGTGTTTGCTCTTCTTTTTCATAAGATGAAAAATAGATGTCAGCTGGCACTTATTCATAATATCAGCACCACAGAATTCAGAATTCCTTGCACAAAGCAGGGGGTTCCTGAGCATTGTCAGAGTCTAACAGAAAAGTTAGGAAAGCAGAGCCTAACATTGTTCACACCTGCTCAATCTCTCACTCATGCTCAGCACATTTCAAGGCATCTTTTCTAACTCACTCTGCCAAAACCCTTCATCTCAGTAGCGAGAATTTCTTCCCATGTTTGTATATCTAAGGGACTTTTAAGTTGTTTAACAGTTTACTTTTTTTTTTCTAATATGAATAACTGCAGGACTGACAGTTCTATAACCTCCAGGCATGTAATTTGTAGCTGAGATATGTACATTTGGAGAGGGAGAAAAGAAAGAATAAGTACAACACAGCTCAGACTAAAAACAAAAGGTGTTAAACTGAACCTTGGGAATATTTATAATAGAAATAAATCCGACAGAAACAAACCTTTAACAACTCCCTCGTTCATTTGCTAAGACACAGCCTGATAAAGCACAGAAATGCTACTGTAGCCCCTGCAGGCTTATTTTGACTAAATCTCAGGAATGCAACATATAAACACTAGACTCCCACATTACACTGTTACAACTTGCATTAGCAGTAACTGGACAAAAGCCACATTTTCACAGAAACATCTTAGAGGGATAAATCTTATGTTTTGGTTTGGGTTTTTTTTGGGGGGGGGTGTTGGTGTGGGTGTTGCTTCTTTAAAAAAACAATTTCCTCACATAAATCATGCTTTCAAAATTCAAGAGGTGACTGATATACTACAAACAACAGCAAATTTACTTTTTTTTTTAAATTGTACCAAGGAGCCTTGTTTATCTATTTGGTGTTTAACTTAACACAGTGCATTTTTTATTCTAGAAAATCACCACTGTGAATGGCAACTCTGTTGTCTTTCAAAACCACCAGTATTACAGCCTGAAGTCTCTTTTTCTTATATATACTTTGCATTTTCTAGAATTGCTCAGTAGAGAAAACGAAAAATAGTATTATCTGACTTTGGTGCCAGCAAATGTTTTCCTATCACAGTGTTTTGCATCAAGAAGTTTCTCTGTAGTGCAGTGTTGACTGGGAATCTTACTGTGCTATGGGTTGTGAAAAACAACAACTATGGCGTTTTAGTATTTTCATTAAAACAAATATTTTAATACTTCAGTCAAACAACAGCTTCCACAGCAAAAAAAAAAATGGCAGAAGTAACCCAAATGTCTCATCATATTTTCTTTCGTTATCAGAACTGCCACCACTTAAGAGAATATAAAGTTAAGTTGGAGTTTCCTCCCTAACCCAAGAGCACTTTTGCACACTCCCGTGGTGAGGAAGGGGAACAGAGCAGCCCTTGGTTGAGTCCATGCTGCCCTCTTGTGACTTTGTGTGTAATCGCTACAGCAAACAAGTCGCCTCCACCTAACACGGTGAAAATTCGTATTTAATTTGATTTTAGAAGGGAGTTTCATAAGAGGAGGAGGGGGAAGACCTACGAGGTACTAATGAAGGTTGGTACTGTGATGCTGATGCTCAGCAAAGCACTTTTTCAGAAGGAAAACAGAAATAAAATTGGTGTACAAAAGGCAATTTTGAACATTTTTCACCTTGCTGTACAGAAAAAGAATGAAAGCCAGCATTTATGAAAGCCATGGTAAGGGAACTTACGTTTTTCCAGGAGATTCCTTTAACCAGAACAGGTCATCACTTGTGATTCCATACTGCAGTGCACCTGCAATCTGTGACCACACAGGTAAGATCCTGAAGCTGCACTGTAAATCCTGGCAGCAAAAGAAGCTAACAGCAGTTTGGGCTGGGTGGGCTGAAGGACAGCCAGCACACCAAGGGGAACACATCTGGGGTTGCCCAGATCTGTTATCCAGCCTCTGTCTCTGGAGATTTTCCAAGAGCCCTGAGCAGTGTGACCTGACCCCATGGCTGACCCCAAGCTCCTCGAGCAGGAGGCTGAGTTAAAGTTCCTCTAGAGACCACTTCCAACCTGAATTATCCCACAGCTCTAAGCAACATCAACAGACTCAAATGATGCAAAGTGTTTTCTATGGAAATGTTTTTCTAAAAAGCTGTCCTTTATATAAAGATAATTTTTCGTATGACAGGAGTAAAACAAATCTCTCATGTGTTACTTTATATCCACATTCTCCAAACATTCACTATGATCTGAAGCACATATAGTTACAAAACCAAGCAAAGCCATGGCAAATGTCAGATGGAAGGGTAACTTACATGTGTAGGATACTTTGGTCTTCCTCCAGTAGCAATGACAATATTATCTGCAGTAATAATAGTCTACAACCAAAAATTAAAAAATCAAAATAAACCATTTGAAATCCTTTTATCTGTCTTTAGACTTCATCTATGTACAAAGGAGTAATAAATGAGAAAGCTGGCACTACTATCTGCTATTTATAGGACATAATCAGCAATACATGAAAAAAAGGATGGAGATAAAATAAACTAATACATGCAGGAGTTTCTCCTATTCATTCTCTATCAGGTTTTGTTTTAATATTAACCTTGCAACTGTTCTTATACTGAGCAAGATTCTGATGACTACTTGGAAGCAGAAGTTATGCACAAACAACAACTTTTTAAAACCGATTTCTGCTTAGGACAAAACACACCAAGATCACAGCAAGTCAGGCCCAGAGTGAAGCTACCTCAAAGGCAGCATGTTTTTAGAAAATCCTAGACACTACCCTCAAAAACCTTTGCTGTCTCAAATGGATATTAACTCCAAAAAGGTGTTAAAAATGCATGTTCAGTATTGTTAAACATGCAGCAGTGGCCAGCATTCCTTTATGTGACCCAGCTGCTGGAATCTGTGCATTCACTATAATTGCCTCCCACACAGATTGGGTGTCAGAAAGCTGATCACCCTTACAAATCACCTGAAGGAGGGGAACATCTCAGACTGACCTAATGCTCATAGGTGATGGTTCTCTTTCCATTTCTGTGAGCATCAGTATGCCTGACCAAATCAAATAACATCTTTTGTCTCAGCATTTCCACCCACAGGAGAGCAATGGCATCTGACAGGCCAGGGCAGGGACTCGGCGGGCAACAGTCAAGTTCAGAAACAACTTCTGGAGGGGGAAAATGCAAATCACCCCCACCAAAACAACAGTGAATACCTAAAGCAATTTGAAAAGGGCCACTCTAACTCCCAGTTGCCCTGAAAGGGTTGAAGTGAACAACACTGCAGAAGCAGCACAGCAGCTCACCTCTTTACCTGCTTTTGTCAAGCCACGGACCGTGTGGGGATCGGAAAAACTCCCTTTCATGTTGAAGTATTTCACCTTCCTGGAGGAGCAAACAGCATCAGCAGTGCACACTTAACAAAGAACAGCTATGAAATACAATCAGCTACGTTTTCCATGCCTGAAGTGCTAAAAAAGGCAGCAAACAGGCCTAGAGCAGTAAAAGGAACAAAGCATCTAATTTCAGGGGACTCAATGTTGGCAGCTCTATCACAATTTTCCACTAAATTCTTGTGTCACAGTTAACTCCTCTACACAGCAAAGTAACTAACCTTGTAACACACTTTGGGATCACGTTATTGACCTCTTCAAATGACATTTTCCACTAGCTATAGCATGACTGGTACTATCTATAGCATCACTAATACAATGCTCATTTAAGAGCACACAGAAGTGACTCAGCAGGAGTCACAAGACTAGAACCTGCTAAATTTTCTATGAATATAATTTCTCTATAAAAGGAACTGCATGCTGAAAAACTTGGAACCATTTCTGCACTGAAAGCAAAAAAACTCTGCTGCTCCAGCATTGTGTTATCTGTGGGTTTGTATGGCATAAAAATGTTGGGGGACAAAATGGAAAGTATCTTCAGAGACCCAGATTACTTCATATTAATGCAAAACCTCTCCAGATTAAAGAGAGCATCCCCTGATCACTGCACTGCAAGAAAGCTTTCATGTGTGGTCACTGTCAACCAGTTTCCCAGAAAAGAAAAGGAAGGTGGGAGGGAAGGAGAACACTTGAATTGACAAGGGCACTTACAGTCCCGAGCAGAAAGGACTCACAAACTCAAAATACTACCTCTAGTGAGAAACTTCAAAGGCAATCCTGCAATTCTACAAGGAGAAGAGCAGCTCCTCGACTATGGGAGGAAAGATGAACTTCAAAGGCTTATTTACTTGTCTTGTAGTTGCACTCTGTGTCCCCAGTTCAAGGATTTCACGTAATTCTGAACAGCTTGTGCCATCAGAGACCTACCACGAAACAAGACATGGAACATGGAGTCATCATTTTACAAATTCAGATCATGCAACTCAAACATACAGGCAATTGCTAGAAATTAGGAACGTTCCACGGTACACGTTATGAAAATAAATTGTCAAGTCCAAATCAACATACCTGCCCTGAGAAACCAGTAAATACAGTTCTGTGTTTTAAACAAGGACCAAGCTAAAATTTCACATGCAAAATCCACTTCCCTAACTGTCCCCAAAAAACACCAGCTGCGAAAAGTTGGTTATTGTTATGCATTTGCAGCACACAGGAGTGAAGATGGGCAATAATCTTTACCAGGTATGATGAACAGGTTGGGCTATGTTCCAGCCATAGTGTTGGGCATCTTTGAGGGCACTCCCTAAAAGGGCTGCTTGATGCATTAGCTTTTTAGGAATGCAGCCAACATTCACACAAGTTCCACCAAGTCCCCATGTGGTTCCTCAGGAGAAGGAAAAAAAGAAAGAAAAAAAAGTAAATGCATCAGATTAGTGTAACTTAATGCAACTGGGTTCATAGCAGCTAAAAAATTCTGAAACAACACACAGTCTGTTATCTCCTAGAGATCAGTTTCTAACTTTGTTTATGCTCATTTGCTTTGATAAAAACCATCTCTGCATATTTTTCTTCTAAAATTCAAACCATCTCAAGATGTTTCTCAGAGCTCTGAAGATCCAGTCACTAATCATTCACATCTGCAGATCTTATTTTACACATTGTACATGAAGAGCCTCAACATGATGCAATTCATAATTTTTAGAAATTGTAAGTAACATTTTGACAGAGAGAATATTCTCGCTTATTTAAGTCCAAAGTCCACTACCAGTGGTAGCATCAAACACTGCTACCAAGCTGAATGTGCAGGGGAAGCAGGAACAGCTGGGACATGCTGGAGGGCACGAGCTGTACTGCAAGCTGGGCTTAAAGACTTTTACTACCAGCAAAGCAGGCAGCTTTGGCCCCTTTGCTGTCTGGAGCAACCTGCTCACCCGGGCAGCTGCTTTACATGCATTTCCAGCTATTGTTACCCCATTATTTCTCATCCATACCTTGTGGGGAAGGGTCCACATAATCCAAAACAGCCACTTTTCTTCCAAACTGAGCAGCTTTAAACAATAAAGCAAGACAAGGTATTCAGAGGAGGAAGAAACACACAAACCTAAACACTTTTAGTAGCACAGCTACAGATAAAGGGTACAGGAGGTGATGGCTGGTGTTTGTTACTGTCTAACTCAAGATACCAGACCAGGGACCCAACCAGCCTATGTAGTCAGCAAATTCTCCAGAAGACACTTAATAACCCAAACTAGAGTGTCCAGCTTCCACCAACCCTAAAAATGCAAACTGACCTCAAATGAGATGTTCAGCAACACTGGAGGTTGTTGAACACATTACACTGAGATGCAAAGGGGCAAGGTTCTCTACAGCAGTTGAACAGTGAAATCAAAGCTTGTTAGATTTTCCCATGACAAGTGAAGAAATATTTTTTAAAAGGTTAACAAGAAAGCCAAACAAGATCACTCCACCTCAGGGTGTGAATTAATTTACAGATTAACCATATAGAGTTGAGTTAATGATTAATGTGCAGGTACTGTGTTTCTTAGAAAGCTTTAGGATTATCACTAACATTTCTCATAGCTTCCTTAAACACCATTGAAGCTAAAACAAGTTATTTATACATACACACCTTCTTTTGCACAAGCAAGGCCTCCAGACCCTCCACCAATGACCAGAAGATCATACTCATTCTTCTTCCCTGTGAAGAGGATGTGAAAACAGAAGGAAAAGAAAGAGACAAGGAAGATGGGAGAGGTATGTAAGGGCAATATCAAAAAGCACGTTGCTTTTTACAATTGATTTTTGCTGATTTGGGTTTTCTTGACTGTACTAAGGCAACGTGTTTTTTCACTAAACTATCTGGTCTGGTTTTCTGAACGAAATATGGAAAACGAAGCTACTCAAACGAAGCGGGAAAATAGATTAGATTTTCGCACAATGTCCCCAGGAGCTCCTTCTGCACAGTCAGACAGACGCAGCTGGGATCCGCACAGGTCTCAGCACCACAGCAGCCGGCCCTGACACGGGGCTGTCGGCGGGGTCACCCTCGGGGCTCCGCGTGTGCCCGGCAGGGCGGCGGCGGGGAAGGCGGCCCCGCTCCACCTCGGCCTCCCCGCGGAGCAGCCCCGTGTCCCGGCGCGGTGCGAGGCGGCGGAGAAGCCGCAGGTGAGCGATGAGGGCACAGGACGGCTCCTGCTTTGGGGCCATCACAGCCGGGGCGGCAGCGAGCGCCGCAGCCCCCGACCGCGGCGGGACCCCACGGCGGGCGGTGGGAAGGGCTCGGGGGACCCTCCGCGGGCAGCGCGTACCTGAGAGCGCCCGCAGCGCGCGGCACAGCCCCGGCCCGGCCCCGCGCCGCGCCCGCCGCAGCGCCGCCATGCTGTACGGCACCGGCCCCGCCCGCCACAGCGCCG